TCAGGAAACCCCATATCTTTTCCCCATATCTCCTGGACATATTTTTTTTTTTCTATGTAAAATAGATAGGGGAAAAAAGCCTTAGTTTGCATGGACAAAACAAATTCCTAAACACCACAGGCACAGTTCAGCATTAGTATTTCTCTGCTATAGAAGTTGAGAAGGCACATGAGCTTTTTTTCATAATACTCTAGAATGAAGGGATTGCTACAGAGATAGAAGAATTCTATAATTTTCAGAGTTCTTGCTGGGAGCCTCCATTAAGGTAGCTGGGAAGGAAGGAAGGAAAAAATCAGCTGGAACTGAGTCAAGATGATGAGTGCAATGATATCTGCAATAAAGCATGATGATGCCAAAATAACGACCTGTCCACAATGACATAGTGATATGCTACAATTACGTAGTTGTGTCAGAATATCAGACACAAATATGTAAGTTATGGCACTGGTGTGATAATGTCTTCGTATATATCATCATTTACCCCCTTGTCCCTGTCAGAGGGTGGATACCGATAGGAATGAAGCCAGACACACTCACGCAGCTAACAAGTAAATTACAGTTATGTTAAGTATTATACAAGTTTAGTGCAAGGTATATTTAGAACAATTCTAGTGACCAAGCATTTATGCATATAGTAACCAAGTGTTTTTGTGACTGTGTACAGTGTTCTACAGAGGTATTCTAACAGAAGTAAATGATTCAAACCTCTGGTCCTTTACTTTCTTTTATTATTCATAATGCTAGTTGCTACATTCTCTCTGCTCCCACACTTACTTACTTGCCTGGCCTGGCCATTACTATACCAACATTTACTATTTTCTGTTACTCAGTTTTCCAGTACCTGAGCCACCTGGTTTTTGCTTTGTCACCATCTACAGTCCAGGCCTTCATTCTGACATTTCTTCATAGGTTCCTCTTTGGTCTTCAGCTGCCACAGACTTTTTCCCAGTTTCGTTTTCTCCTTCCCCATAGATTGTCTGGTTCATGGCTCTGTCCGTTGATGCTTCCTCTGGTCCACGTTGTGTCTGGTTGCCTCTTACTCTAACAGCAACTTCTGTCAAATCTAGAAAAGCATAAGCTTTGGGGAGCTATAGCTCACTTCTAGCTGTAGTTGGAAAAGGTGCTATTCCTGCCTTCTTATTTTTGACTATCATAGACTAACACAGCTCTCTTCTGCCAGTGGCTCAGATAGATGCGTGGACCTTTCGGTAGTGGGCATCTACAGTATATTGAAGAATCTTTTACAGTATATTGAGAATCTTTTAAAGATTCTCAAATGGTCAAATGTGCCCACAAGTGACCTGTAAATCCTTCACTTCTACCTCTTATAAGGTATGTCTGGGATATTATTTGGCCTGTTCTTTCTCCCCTTGAGGGTCAACAGGGACACAGAACAGAAACTAACATACATGGACCTCTAAATACAGCAAGTAACTAGGTAGAGTGGAAATAGATTTGGTTTTATTTGGTCTTGCCCAATTTCTGTTACAGTTAGCCTTTCTCAGATGCCTAACTGGATGGGCCTACCAATTTTCTTTCATTCACCTTTCCTCTTTCAGAAGTGTATTGTTTAAGCCTGATACCAATCTTTCTTTGCTACGGCATATTTTTAATAAATTCTAAGTATATTTTTAAAGAATAGATTGGATGCCAATTTGTGTCTGAGGGGGTTGTAATCTGGTAATATGACTCTGAAGGCTTGGGGTTTTCCAGACTGATTACCAAATATTAGGCTTAAAAGAGCCTAGTATTTGGTAATAGGGAAGGCTTAGGAGAAAGGAAAAAGTACGTTCCTTTGTTTGGCCTTGTTCCTATAACCCAGGATTTACTGAAGTAAAAAAAGCTAATGGCAGTGAAGGTTATATAACTGTGACATCACCCTAGACAGTCCTGAGTTGGTGGGCCAACCCAGTGGTACAAAACTCCTTCTTAATGAAAGACCTACAAAGACAAAGATATTTCTAAATCTGTGATCCAAAAACCATGATTTTTATCATGTCCACAGAAAAAGTAAACTGTACACTTTGAATATTGCTCCAAGAAATGTTATCCCTTCTCCTCAATGGGCTTTGTAACTCCAAAATATAGCAGCTGGACTCTGAAAATGCTCCTGTTTCTAAATACAGTATGAAAGAGGGCAGTATAATTAATGCAGGATTTCAATTGGTGGTTATGATTGTAGTATCAAATGAAATACACAGAATGAGATCAAGAATGCAGGTGTGATCATCCTTGATTTTACAAAGCAAACAAGAGTTTTAGAGTGCCCTGTGGGCACTAAGTATAAATAGACCTATCTATGCTTTTTTTCTTTGTAGACATTCAGGTGTTAAATTTAAACTTTAATAATAATTTAAAAATTATTAATAAAATATTTTTAAAAAAGAGAACTGATAGAATTTGTACATTCTACAACATAATTTAGATTTGAATTTATTTATTTCAATATATACCATATATACTTAATTTACCTCAGTATGTACAATATTTTAGTTGAGTTTAATCAAAATGCATCTTTACCCCTTTCATCTTCAGTAATATTTTGATTATGCACTTTTAATAGATAAAAATCAAAGCTTTGATTTTATCAGTTAAAACAAGCAGTTGATTTATTACAGCACAAACTCAACACGTTTTTACATTTTTTAAATACAAATCAAGAAGTAATAAGAAGGAATTTATTTGGTTTATATTTTTATTATGTAAACAATATCCCTCATATAGAAATATCTATACAGAGGAAAAAATGTCTAGTTACAATAAACCTTTCCAGGTAATTTGCTGATCCATGCCTCCAATATATTCTACATCTTTGGAATAAATTTGCACAGATCTCAGAATGTTTCAAGAGAGAGCCCAGAAAGTGAGCTAAAACTATGGCCATGTCTTCTCATAAAGGAAGAAAGACAAAGTTGAGGCTGATTCTCCTAGCAACTACTATGAGAAGCGCCAGACTGAATCTGATCCTTAAGGAGGCATTGCACATTGCAACTAACTCTGACAGAAAAGTTGAGGATCTGCTACATAGAGGGAAGGATCCTCAGGCTACAGTTTAAGAGGCAAAACGTAGGCTGAAGAAAGAGTTCCTTGAGAATGCTGCTCTTAATTATTAATAGAACTTTGTTTGATTTCTCCTGGCCCCAGCTGTTAAGTCCTCAGTTCCAATTTTGCCAACCTTGTTATTCTTGTTTCATTGAACACCTCCTGCTTTGTCATAGACCCTTGTTACTTGAACTAGTATGAACTCCTGGCTCAGCCTCTGAGATAGGCTTTGGGCTGCTTCAGCAGCTTTGATCCTTTTGGGTTACTGCTCTGCTGGCTTTGACCATGCAATCACAGGTTGATTTGCTCTTGGCAATGACCTTTGGTTCATTATTTCATCTGATCATACTGTCACAGATTGATGCTCTTGTAAGTTTATCCTACTTCTGATCAGTCACACTCCAAACACAGGAGAACAGCTAACTTTCCCCCCTACTAATGAATAAAACGATGTGAGATCAACACTTATGAAGCTGATTATACTATTACATTCAAACATTGTAACATGAGATATAACCCTTTAGAAGGGATTAGCTTTAGTGAGTATAAAGGATAGCCTTGAAGGGCAAAGGGAATTTCTGTTGTCAAGGCAATGAGCAGATAAACGTGGCTTGACCCCTGACCAAGAAAGTGGTTTACAAAAATGACTCAGAAAGTCTCCACCCCACCACACCCCCAATTAACATGAAGGTAAGAGAGGGAGGAAAGGAAGCACATTGAGACTTGCAAGCTTCTGTTAGCATAACTGTTCTAATAAAAGTAGCTTTAGGTCTACACAGTGTCTGTTCTACCTTATAGGGCTGACATTAGCTTTTGATCTCTTGAATCCTGCTAGTCTTCTTTTACACTGTAGAGAGAAGTTTGTCTTTTATCCATATTGTTCTATGTTTATTGTATATTGTAGATCACTTCAACTTTAAGCAGTCAATTAACTTAGCCAGTAGGAACTGTAATCATCATTTGTCTTATTGAATATCTTTTGGTGCTTGATATTATATTTTTGCCATGAAATAGGCTTTATTTATATTTAATTTTTGGTTCTATTTATAATAAGAGCAAGTGAAACACATGGACCTGGTCTTCATAGTTCTTCTGATATCCTGAACAGGCAAAATGTGACTTTTGTGTTGTGAAAATGAGGCAAATATTTCCCAAGTTCCTAAACTTCCTAAATCTTGCTCCTCTAGAACCAGTAATAGAGGTACCTATTAAGCCTTCTGATGCCTCTCTCTTATGCTGTTATGATACTACTTAAGCAATAGCATTTCTAGCCTAAGCATTAGGTACAGAAGGGTGGCATACACACACATACACGCAGAGAGAGAAAATACATTAGAAATATTAGAAGGAAGAGAAAGAAGGGGGAACTCTAATGCTGTTGTAGGAATAATGGCACTTTTAAGAACATGTGAAGATAGGAAAAATCCAGCTGTTCAAGCAAAAGTTCAAGAAGTCCAGCATTGTTTTCCCCCCATGGTCTTCAGTTGCTTCCAGCAAATCCACAAATGAAAGATGAAGGCTAGAATTTCCTCTACTGAATTGGTCTAATATTGCACTTCCTTACAATGAATTTCCCCCCAAATAAATACACTTTATGTAAATAAGAACTACTTTTTTTCTTTAGGAGTATTTTTGACTTCATGACAGTGATTGTAGTATAAGAGAGATCTATCTCTTTTTACCCTTCCCCTCATTTCCCTCCCCCATTTTTAATTTTTTTGCAAGTGGGATGATCAGACTCTGTTTTTCCAATACTGCTGTATCATATACCTATATTATTATTATACATTATTATACATTATTATAGAGACTTATTTTAGTACATTTCCTAAGAACACCTTAGGATGGAATTTGCCATTATCAGTGCCACGTAACTTGGCCTGATGCCTTCAGCTTTCTGAATGAACTCTGTCCAGTTAATATCTAACAGGTTTATTTGATTTCTCTTCTCAACATTCAGCACTATGTGATTTTCCCTGACAAAGCATCAACTCTTTCTTTTAGACTGGAGAGGTCAATTATAATATCAAAGTGATTCATGTTTCAGGAGGATTTGAAAGAACATTTTAATAGTCTGAGACCATTGTGATTATTCCCAGAATCTAGAAAAGGTATGCTACAACTTCTATTTTTAATTGTCTTACTGTTTAAAAATATTGTGACATAGAATGCATGAGATTGTAGCAGTCGTAACAGTACTGCAGTTGTTTTAAACAATACTATAACTGGAAACTCTTTTGCTTAAGGTAGAAGAACTGCATTCTACCTTTGAAACTTTTGTGGTTCTGAGGCAATGACCAGGACTAGATTTTCTCATGGCATTCCATTTTTGAATGAATGAATGAATGAATGAATGAATGAATGAATCTTTATTACAGCCAAAGGCAAGAGATCTTTTAAATTATAGTTCCAGAATTGTTCACATCACATGAAACCTGTTTTCTATTCAGAAATTTGTTACTTTACCTATCTTCTGATCAAGGTTCATTATATTTTATAACTAAGCTTCATTCTCCCAGCAGGTAACAATAGTTTTTCATATCCTATCAACATCAATTATTTTAAAATACTGTTCTTATTTCATTTATGTAAAAAAGATGAAAATATTGCACAGTTCTGTGTACATTTGGTAGGCTAAAATAATCTGGATTATATGCTGTGATTCTTCTGTTTTTCCTCTGAAAGTAATCAATAGTTATTGGTTGAAATTTATTGTGATAACAATTCAACTATTTCTGCTTTGATACTTCATGCATATCTCAGATGCTATGCTGTTAGGATGAAATCTTTAAACTAGATGCTTATTCCAAGAATGCAAAGATTATATTGTGAGAATCAGAGAGAGAAGGATTGTCATTGTTATATCTGATAATACATATGTTCACATTTCAGGTCAAAACTGGTGGAAGAAATATAGGAAAACATGAATCTCAAGGAACTGTTTGCTCCAGATAGCTGGAATTTCAAAGGTATAAATAGAAAATGCTTTCTTTATAATTAAGTAAAACATCATATCATGGAGACTTAGGCATTCAACTGGATAATAAAAGCCCAGATTTTTAAACTCTTTATACACTCCTTCTTAAATCTATGTCCTTGACTATATAAATGTGTGTCTTCTTAGTTATCTGGGGAAAATATTTATTGACTGATTGTTTTTCTTAAAACATTTATGAGATTCTCTAAATGAGTTTGAGGACATGACTTTGTTACATTGCTTGTCATTGTTTCATCCAAGCCCAAAATGACTGCAAGAATTCTTTTGAACAATACCTCCTGGATGGATGGATAGATAGATAGATGATAGATAGATATAGATAAATCACAGACTCAGAAAAACCAGGAGGATTTACTTTGGATTTTTTTCCTTTCTTTAGACATGCATTTCCCTTATATTTCTCACCGGATTCCTGGCTTCAGAAAGTTAGAAACAGAATGTCTTCCCAAGTTAAGAAAACTGCCTTCCAAACTTCCAGGTAACTTCATAGTTATGCTGACTGCTTCATTGATCCAGAAAGCATAATCACTGTTTGTGTATATGCAGTTTCCATTTAAAGAGAGCATATTGTCCCTTTTTGCCAAAATAATACAATATAAATATATATTTAGTAGAACTATGTACATATAACTTTTTGAAATTCTCCAACAAATTTTTAGGCAGAGTAAATGGGTGGGTGACTTGTCCAAATTCTTAAAGGAAATCTCCTAACATTTCTTAAAAGTAGGAACATCCTTAATGATAATAGTAGTACCATTAGTGAAAATGCTGCATAGCAGGCACTCCCTAAGCATATCATCTCATGAGATTTAGTGGAAGCCAGATGACTGCAGATGAATGGAGAGATGCTTTTGCAATAAAAGGTAGAATATTCACACACACGTGGCTACTTCATGACTAAATAAATGCAAGGACTCCAAGCTCCCCCATGGGAATGTCTCTATTTGAAACAATTTTTAAAGCAAAGTTTAGTCCATTAGATTGGATGATAATTAGTATAAAAAGATACAGGAAAATGTCTTTGTGAGACATTACTGTGCATTGTGGACAGTTTCATAAAGTGATGACATCCCCTAGGAAAGAAGGAATAGTTTGGAGGACATACGGTTTATTGGCACAATTAAGTTCTCAGCTTACTATACATGTACTTAAAACAATATATGTAGTGTGTCTTAATTACCCATAGTGGAAGGATCAGTGCCACCACCTGACCCTAAAGAGAGCTAGGTCAGTGGTGACCAGCTCTGAGGATACACAGGTTCTACCCTCAGCCACAGAAACTCATTGGGAGACTTTGTTTCAGTCACTCTGTGTCAATCCAGACTTACTTTACATGGTTGCAATTGCAGGGGGGAATAGGAGGAAAGACAGATAAAAATCAAATCAAAGACAATTATGGCTTAATTATGGCTTCAAAGCCCATTTCGGTCACATTCTTGAATGGACCTTCTATTACTCCTTAGATGCTTTTCTACTTCATGGACTACTTTGTCCACAAAATCTCTCATTCAGACAATTAATCTAAAATGTGCTGTACCTGCCAAAGTAAATGAACAGCTTCTGCATTAGCCATTCATCATGGTTCAGGACAACAGTATGGTTAGGGAGCTTCTATTGAAGATCAAGTTGTGATTTAAAAAAACCAAAACAAACATAATGTGAGAATTGACTAAGATGCTTTCTTATATCTTTTATATTTTTAGGCACTGTTTCTTCTTACACTCCTTTTTGGATTTATAAGCACCTGAGATCAAAAATGGAATGGTTGCAAGATTTTACAAACAGCAAGTGGCCTTGGAAAACTATAAGTAATTTCAAAATATATTGGCATAGAAAAACAAAGTTTACATTTTAACTATAAATTTTCTTGTCTTTAAAGGACTAACAATATTGGTCATTCAGTTCTTCAGTATTGAGCCAGGTTTGCTGTGTTTTATGAAATCTAAAATACAAGTGGTTGATTCCATTGTTCAAATATCTGATTTTTAGTCCCCATTTCTTTTACCATCAAGAAGAAATGGTTGAATGACCATGAGAGAAAGAAATGGTATAATGTGTACACAGAGAGAAATATAGGCACAAAGAATGAAGTTGAAAAGAGTAAAGAAAAGTTAAGATGCAATTAATTAAAATGCAATAAATAAAAAAAATAAAAAAGAAGCAAAGAGGCAAAGAGTTTGTAAAATCTTGCAACCATTCCATTTTTGATCTCAGGTGCTTATAAATCCATAAGCACCTGAGATCAAAAATGGAATGGTTGCAAGATTTTACAAACAATGGTATAATGTGTACACAGAGAGAAATATAGGCACAAAGAATGAAGTTGAAAAGAGTAAAGAAAAGTTAAGATGCAATTAATTAAAATGCAATAAATAAAAAAAATAAAAAAGAAGCAAAGAGGCAAAGATAAGCACCTGAGATCAAAAATGGAATGGTTGCAAGATTTTACAAACAATGGTATAATGTGTACACAGAGAGAAATATAGGCACAAAGAATGAAGTTGAAAAGAGTAAAGAAAAGTTAAGATGCAATTAATTAAAATGCAATAAATAAAAAAAATAAAAAAGAAGCAAAGAGGCAAAGATAAGCACCTGAGATCAAAAATGGAATGGTTGCAAGATTTTACAAACAATGGTATAATGTGTACACAGAGAGAAATATAGGCACAAAGAATGAAGTTGAAAAGAGTAAAGAAAAGTTAAGATGCAATTAATTAAAATGCAATAAATAAAAAAAATAAAAAAGAAGCAAAGAGGCAAAGATAAGCACCTGAGATCAAAAATGGAATGGTTGCAAGATTTTACAAACAATGGTATAATGTGTACACAGAGAGAAATATAGGCACAAAGAATGAAGTTGAAAAGAGTAAAGAAAAGTTAAGATGCAATTAATTAAAATGCAATAAATAAAAAAAATAAAAAAGAAGCAAAGAGGCAAAGAATGCAATAAAGAATATGGTTTTAAAAATTAATGAATCAAAGATCAAGCTTGATAGGGAAAAGGGAGTAAACAGCTGAAAAACTAAACTAAATAGATGAATTAGTGTATCTTCATAGAGTTTTTACTAAAGATGGGAAACTGGATGGAAAAATGTTAAAATATGCAAATTCTGGTGGAAAAGTAGTGGGAAGCACATGATCTGTAGTAAAGAATGAATGTTTGTTGAAAAAACCAAAAATAGCTATATGGTATATAAGATTATTTTCTTCCTACTTTCTCATATGAGAATGAAATTTAAGTATGCCAGGAGAAACATAAAAACATAGCTACTAACCACACTGAGTCAAAAATGTGAAAAAGAAACAGCCTTTTTTCACTTATTTTAAACCATCTGATCACTAATTTAAAATCCAAGAATGATTCAGATTATTCATTCTTTTTACCAGTGAAAAGTTAAGCTGAGAATATTTATATACAGTACTTATAAAGTTTATATACTTACAAAGTTCAGTATTTTCTCCATACACATTCCGACAAGTATTTCTTTTGTAGTGGAGAATCTTGTTTGCTTTTATATATATACATTTATCCATATTTCAATAGAAAAATGTTTCATCTCCAAGGTAAAACGTGATGGGGGGGGTTTTGGCGGGGGGATCCTTGCTTTCTTTTGTTTTCTGGATTCATTTGAAATGTTTGAGTTCATTTCACATGATGTGTCCTACAGAGCAGTAATTTGCATTATGATGAAGAGGATTGAGGACTAAGCCATTGGCAGATTCCACAGTGATGATTCATATGGCTTTAGGACATTAACATTGAGAAAATTGCTTGTGATCAGTCAAACTACACTGAAAAACACATTCTGGAATTTACCAAAGAATATAATTTGATTTTTAAAGTTTGGTATAAGGGAAATAAATTATAAATCTTACACAACAACTTAAAAAAAGTAGAATGCAATTTAACAACATAAGTGATATATATTAGGTTACAACATTGTATACTACTAAGGGAAATGTTATACTGATATGTAAGGTTTTTTTTCTTTTTCCCCTAGATCAATTAAAGACAGAAAACAGTAAGTCTCTTTAAAGTTTAAACAATATTTCAATTGCTTATTTCATTTAGTCTTGTTCAGTTTTTATGCAAGATAAATCCATAATTCTTCTGAAATATTTTCTATGTGTAAAAATGTTTCTACTTTCCTTTGCAGGTCAGTTAAAGGCAGAAAATCGTAAGTATGCTAAAGATTACCAAGCATCCTCATAGTGTCAATCTAGGATTGCCAGCTGGTGGTGTAACCATTCCTGAAGTTTTCTACTTTTGCATATATCTTCATGGGATGTGAGGGGGGTGGAGCTAAGATAATGAAGGAGCAACAGCTTCTCTGGCAGGGGAATTCTGGGAAATGAAGTTCACATATCTTAAAGTTATCAAGGTTGAGAAATACAGTTTAGATTAATAACTTAGTTACACATTTTATCTTTATCCTACTTTATTCAACAAACAACTTCTGTTCTCCATGGGCCATATTACCATACACATGCATGCATATATACTCATCAAGCTCTTCTTTTTCATGTTAAACATTATGTAAAGCACAAGAAAGAGTAAGCAAAAGCAATTAAAGGGTTAAAATAAGAGAAGGAAAAGGGAGGTGCTAAGGAGAAATATAAAATGTGCAGCTAAGGGGTGAAGATAGATTATTTTACTCAAGAGGAAGTTAGAGGAGAGTTTCTTCTTCTTTTACTGTTCTTAAAAATAGTGAGAGTCCAAAGGTGTTTTATATACATTTCTTGGACAGTCAGTTATAACTGGACAGAAATAACAGTGAGAAAACAAATCTTGAGGGAGAACAAAGAAGTTTAATAGGATGAGAAGACATTTTTCCTCCAGGGGTTCAGGTGTGAATAGGTATGGAGAAAGATGAAGCCAATTAAATCTAGCAAGGAGAAAAGTTTAAAGCAATTCATGAAGGAAAGTTTCTTTACAAAGTGTACTTTCCATACAAAGAACTAACAGGGAATAACTGGAGGGTAAACAGAACATTTTGAAAAAGGAGAAAAGAGAATGTTTATGTTAAGGCAGAGATTATATGAAAAGAAGCATACCTCATATTTTTCTATATTTAACTTTTTCCATTCTTTTATTCACAGAATTCTTAGAAACTCGTTTCTACAGAGGTGAGAATAATTGAATAAAATTGCAAAAGGGCAGATAAAGGTGGTAAATAGTGAAGGAAAAGTGAAGAAGGAGAACAAATGCATATAAGAGAGGAAGAAGTGGGAAGCATGACAGAATTCATGTATCAGAGAGACAAAAAGATGGGGGGAAAAGAGAGAAAATGAGGCTGAGAGGAGATGTATTAATGCTTGCATTCACTATAATCCAGTTAAACATTCCAGGGATCTAACAACAAATCCAGTTAGAATACAAAACAAAAATACAACTTAAAATCAAAATATAAAATTTAAACCATGGATAAAGAGATGACTTTAGGCTCAGTGAGTGAATGACAAATGCAGCTGCTGAAGGAATGCATTCAGCTAACTAGCTTCACAGCTTGAGGTGGCACATTCTGGTGTTTATCATTATTTTACAATTTGAATTGATTGATGTGCCATCAACTTGGTGTTGACTCTTAATGACCACATAGATAAATGCTGGCTATCAAAAGCAGAAAATAAAATTGGCATTAAAAAAAATAGATGTGTTCCATAATAGCCTTAGACTCAAGCTGTGAGCTTAGTCATTTACCTTTTTAAGGTGCTCCATGACATGACCTTCTTCACATGAGCCTATGAGGGCTTAATTAGACTCTCCTGCAGTATTGCAAGGGAGAATTCAACTCAGCTTCAGTGAAAAAAGTAGAACTATCTTCAAATCTTCCTTCTCAGTCAAACAAAATCCTAAATTGGGGAAATGGATCACAAATTTTGAGGCTGTAGCAGATAGGTGAAGAGGCCCTACTGCTCTTCCCAGGTTGAACAAAGTCATAGTGCATTGCTGAGAGCATTCCAAGGATTGCCCACATTTTGTCCATTTGTTACTCAGCTTCTAAGAAATGGGCCAAAAAAGTAAAAAATTCTTTTTCTGCATAAAATAGCATAAGCACGTGAGGCATTGATTAGTAATCATCACTGATATTATTGTTGTTTATTCTTCCTTTACCAACATAGTCATTGTCATTTCTCCTGCCTGAGGGAGGAAGATGGGTTTAGTTCTCATCAATGCTGTCATGTATTAAGAACATGAAAATGGCATAGTAGGTCATAGTTTATAGCTCCAACCGACATGAATCTATCCAGTCCTCATTTACAGTCATCCATGGTTTACATCTTGTGGAAGCAAATTCCTTTTATCTGTGCCAAATTTTGCATATCTGGACTTTATTGTTCCCAAAACAAATTGTCAAATATACCTCCAAAATAGCCATTTAGGTGAGGGAACATTTTTGCATAGAATGAAATCTCTATTAAATTTTGCACTAGTGCAAAATTTAGAAAAATGGTTTAAGCCCTTCCCTACTGCCTGAAAGAATTTGGAACACTGAGTGCATCATCTGCTCCTCAAGACATAACCATAGAACATTCATTACTCCTAATAGTGGTGAATAGAAAGCTGTGCTAACTGGGATCACATAATCTCTGCAATAATGACTTGCTTTCATAAATACAATGCAATATTCATGTAATCAATCAGATAGAGCTTAAAATATTTAGAACTGGATAAGATGGCTGGAGACATGAATGGTGATCAGCATACTTTGTGTATGAAATAAATTACATGGAAAGGTTCATGGATCTCTGTCTATATTAAGTGAGTTTGGAAGGCATACCAACTAATTCATTAATGCTCCACTGTGATGTTCCACTATATGAAATTTTCCCAAGCAGTGGGATGTTTACTTTGATTGTAAGGTATTCATATTTTCTACTAGGGCAGTGTAGTTCTTTGGAAATCATTCAGAAAAGCTGCTTTACATACAGCACATAGGAGCATAAATAGTACCTGTCTGCTACTTTTTGAAGCAGCTACATCCCAAGAATAATTTTCCAAAGTATTTCTGAAGCAATACACAGCCATATTGTCCATCATACTGTATACATTTCTATTTTCAAAGCATGATGAAAAGCCTAGTTCCTCCACAAGGCTGTCTATAACTCTGAGTTAAGACATTTTCTTTTCTTTGCAGTTGACCTTACCTTGGATCCCAAAACAGTTCATCCAAGACTGGAAGTATCTGAAGATGGGAAAAGTGTGAAGGACACTGGAAATATTCATGATGTTTCTAAGAGTAAAGAGAGATTTGAGTCCCATACATTTGTCTTGGCAAAACAACTTTTTTCTGAAGGCAGATATTACTGGGAAGTGGAGGTTGGCCAGAAAATTATGTGGGATTTAGGTGTTGCATCTGAATCTGCTCCTAGAACAGGGAAGATCACATTGTCTCCTCAGAATGGTTATTGGGTCATAGGGCGTGATGATGGGAAAGATTACTGGGCTCGGACAGACCCCTGGACGTGTCTGAATATGCCAAGAAAACCAACTAGAATAGGGATATTCCTAAATACAAAAAGCCATGAAATTTCTTTTTATGATGCTCAGAGGAAACTTAAATTATATACCTTTCTCAATGTTGCTTCTGGGAAATTTTATCCCTTCTTCTCAACAGGCTCTGTAATAGGAAAAGAATTTGATAATAGGACACTAATAATCCCACCATGGTTTGAAGAAGAGGAGGTAGTGGAAGAAAAAGAAATAAATAATTAGGATAGATCTTAGTTTAGATGGGCTTCTTACTGTACTTGTTGAACAATGTGATGCACATTTTTTAATATATCAACATCAATTATATTTTAAAATACTGTTCTTATTTTATTTATGTAAAAGTAATGAAAATATTGCACAGATCTAGTAATTCAGTATATATTGGCTTTTTAAAAAGGAAGAAATAAATAGGGAAGTTATTCAGATGTATAGCTCAGGGAATTTTTATAGTCTCTATAGCAAAGCCTGATCTGAGTTCAATTAAGAAGCAATTGGAAGAAATGCACTGACCTAGTTTGTATGGATACTGGAATAATGGTAATGTGTTTGTTAGTTATGTTTACATATTAAGAATGACTTTTTTTTTAAGAATTTCTATGAATATTTGAATGCATTTGAATATATACATGCTCAGGGTAAATTCACAAAGCTTTAAAAATGCATGGCACTTCTCATAATTGTTAATAAATATTTATAAGTGTATTTATGGTATGCTATATTATTCATAGTTCAATTAATTCTAGATATTTCTATAAATCTAGTATCCAGATATCATAGGAGGAGAGCCCTGTTAGTCTGTGGTGGCAAAAAGAATCAGCACTTTTTTTCACTAACAAATTTTATTAAAAGTCATAAGCTGAGTTGCAGCTCCCTTCTTCAGATGCATACAGTAGCTAGGCTGATGTAGGATTTAAACTGGAGCAAGGTGGGGAGAAAGGTGGTGGAAAAATTCATATAACCTTTTTTTCATAAAACTTTTCAGCATACATTATGCTAACTGTGTCCAGAAGACTAATTGGGGAATAACTAATAGGATTTTACTTATGACCTGATTGAGAACACTGATAGCCTCAGCTATTATAAATTTGAAAGGCCAAGATTTGCACTGATACACATTTCATCGTTTTTGTACTATTGCATTTGTACCAGCTGCCTATGGATATGGCCTTTCCACTTGTGGTCTCTATTCCCCAAAATGTGTGATGTGTCCTATTTAACATTGCTCCCCACCACCTCAATCTTTATCAAATGCTGGGATGGAACAAGCAACGAACAGCAAAGAGAGAAACAAGGTTGTCCTGGAAATAATGAGGTTAGTGCAGAAAATGGCTTGTTCTGAAAAAAATGTAGAGACTTTGTTGTGGTCATTACCCAGCACAAAGGAAGTTGATACATGAATATCCAAAGCTGAATTGACAATATCAGAATAGAAGAATCAAGAATCACTCTCTTGGGTGCTCAATGCACACAGCAGCAGGTCAAAATAAAGACAACCTAGAGTCAATTCCATACATGTAGTATTCTTGACAGTGTTCCAGATGTTGTTTGCCATTGTCTTTTTCCAAGACAGTTTTTCAATTTGCTATTTTAGCTAAAAACTCAGGGACTTCATGGTGATCCCTCACTTACTACAACCCAGGTAGGTGAAGGTAAAGAAAGAAAGCTGAAGACATTTCTATTTTACTTATCTTTGCCTCCCTACTCTGAAAAAGAAAATGTCAGATTCAATGTTAGAATGTTTAGAAGCAGTAGAAAAATAAGACCAGAATTGTAGAACTGCAACATAAAGAAGAGTTGCTACAGGTTAAAATTAAGTTTAGTTGTTAAACAATATAACGCAGGTCTCCAAAGGAGAGGACTTCCAGATGGAAGTTTTGAACCATTTTGATGGGGGGCTGAGCCAACTGAATTATTACTCTGATTTACTTCAAATCACACCCACCACACACACACACAACAGAAGCAAATGTTACTAAATACTTTCAAAACTGTCTCAAACTAGTTTCTTTAACTCAGGGATGGGCATTTCTACAGTGACGAGTAAAGAGAAATGGGAGTTGACCTGATGACATTTCTCTTCTTCCACTTTCTGCCTTTGCATAAGGCTGTAGCAATGCTGTGATTGGCCAATCCTGGTGAAGACGAGCCGAGGCTGG